ATACCAATGAAACAACTCAAGAAGCAGCAGCTGCTGCTGCTGCGGCTTTAACTGCTGCTGCCACCGCTTCTACTACTAGTGCTACTGCTGCTCCTGCTGCTGCTGCTGTTTCTGTCTCTACTAATGCTGCTGTTTCTGTTTCTGTTCTTATTTGTGCTTCTGTTCTTATTTGCGTTTCTGTTTCTGCTTGTGTTTGTTCTGTTTCTGTCTGCTTGTACTCTGTCTATTTCTGTTTGTTTTTCTGTTTCTGTTTGTCTGTGCTTCTGTTTCTATTTGTATATCTGTTTCGGTTTCTGTTTCTGTGTGCTTATGTTGCGGCCTCTGTTTGTGTTTCTGTTTTGTACTTCCGTTTCTCTTTCTGTTTTCTACATGTATTTGTGTTTTGCTTTTGTTTTTGTTTGTATTTCTTTGCTTACCAGTGCTGTTAGACAGGCAAGTCTAACAACCCACTCCCTGAAGGCCATTTTGCATGGTGGTCGGCCCTGCTCAGCAACCTGCATTTTCACAGCTCGGATGGCTTTGCCTCGGGCCCCCCCCGCCTTCTTCTTCCTCATCGCATCAGCGCGACGACGACGCATGGCTTCCTCCTCTGCACGCAGCAGCAGCAGCAGCAGCAGCAGGAGCAGCAGCAAAAACCGTAGTAGCTACAGATACAGTAGTAGCCGTCGGTGTTTTCTTAGCCGCAGGAGCAGTGTAGTCATCAGTAACAAAAGCAGTAGAAGCAGCAGTTGAAAACATAGTAGCGGCAGCAATAGTTGCAGTGAAGAAGACGCAACCAGAGAAGAAAATACAAGAACAAGAGGCAGAACTAGAGACGAAGACGAAACCACCACAACAAACCGAAAGAATTATAGTCTTACTTCTTGCCTTCGCTCTCTCAAGGAGTTGTATTTGGGTTTCCTTGGGTACACAATAGCTGAAGGGTTTAGTTGTCGCTAGTCTTTCCCCTAATGTACATTTATCGCATGCAGCAACTGTTGTTATCGTTGCAAAACCAAATAAAATACCACCAACACATCCACCTATATGTGCATAGTTATCCGTGAAGCCAGACATCCCTGTCACAATCCCTATCAGCTGTGCATCCACACACAAA